CAGCCACAGGTACAGCATTCACCCCATCTCCTGCATGGCAAGAGTAAAGCATTCTAGTAACAACCTGTAATACCTAAGTCCCTGTGGAGTTAATCTTGGGGCAGTCGTACCTTGTCACACTTGGAATAGAAGGAATAGAAAGTCAACCTTTCAAAACAAAAACATGCACCCTAGGGCACACACACACACAATGGAATGGAAATTCTGTTGGCCCTAGGCATGCCTTTTAAAATAAAATGGTTACAGAAAAAAATGGTCAGAATGACACCACTTATCTGTAGGAGCAGTAAGTTATCAAAATTGGCTGATGTTGCCATGAGGAGTAGCAGTTTGGTAGAATGGAATCTCTGTTTCATATGAGAACATATTTAAAGCCTGAATAAGAATACAGAAAGGATGAAAACCCAGAGAAAACTTTTTGCACCCAAACATTCCTGGGAGATTTTGTGAATGAGGCTTGACAGCAAGAGAAAGTTGGTTTCTCTGGAGGTTATGACTACCCTTCACTGCAGTCACTGCAGCAATGTAGAAGTTACACAACCTGCAAGGAAGGTCAAACAATACCAACTCTTCTCAGAGACACCTCCCTGCTGAAAGAAAAAGACTTTATGGTTTGACCCCTTCGGTGATGTAACCTTGTTTTTAGAAATTAAAAAGAAAAAAAATCAACTTGTGTTAATTGCAAACAAAATAAGACGCAGAGCAGGTTATTACCACAAAGAATTTCCCAATAACCCAAGAGCTGTCAGGAAATTATCCTGAACACAACAGGCAGAAAATACACTCCTACATGCATTTGGTAAGAGTAATTAGGACAATGAATAAATGAATTATGCAAACTAATGAAGGAGCTAGGCAATTTAAATCACAGTCCATTCATTCTCTCCCTTTTCAGAGAAGGCTGAAGGAAACGTACAAGGCATATTAAGCAGTTAGCTCTTGAATTACAAAGTACATCATGCCAAAATCATTGCAAATAGTGCGTATTCAGACATGCAAAAGCAGACTGAAAGTTAACCCACTGAAGATGGCTGTGTTATGCACATTTTAAGAGAAACAAAATAAAAAAAAACAGGAACAAAAACCCTCACAAAAACATTCTGGCAGTCAGACAGCTGCCACAGGAGTAAATCCATACTCCAGTGATATTTCAGACTTCCATCCTCACTGTACTCTCCATTTTCAGGGCAGGATTTATCTCACAGCAGTTGATGGATAAAAAAGAAAGGCAATCAGACTAAGAGGTTTTTATAATTGGGACTACTGAGCAACTTAGTGATACTCTGCTTTTTCATGTCAAGATTACAACCCTTCCTGCTCTACAAAAAGCGGGACAGGGGGTGTGGGGTGTGGTGTTAAGACACAGAAGAAAGCCCCCAACCCTAGTTGCTGTTTCTGTCAATATCTGACTGAAAGTATCCAGGTCTGTGCTGCAATTACAGGAAAGACGGACGCCTTTAAAAGCATTTCCGTTCCCTTTCTAGCAAAAGGAACACTAGATGGTGCTACATTCGTATTCCTATCTTTACCCTCTCAGATGAAGGGGAGCAGCAAGAAAAGTTAAAAAGAAAAAAACAACTAGTACACGATAGGTGCCTCCCACACGTAGCAGCAGAGTGTCACTTCCACACAGTGTTCCCCCCTGTCCACCAGCCTTGGGACTTGAGTCTCCTTCTGCCCTTTTACCAACAGGAGGTTGACAATCGATAGCTGTAGAAACTAAGTCAGACTGCATTGCCTTTTTCTCTTAAATTTTGCTACCAAAACCCAAAATGAATTATTACAAAACAAAAGATCTACAGCAGCTACTGAGTCCATTTTCAGGTTTAATACTGTTAGAAAATATGTGCTGCACCAGCACTTTTTGTAACAACTCTTAAAACATTCATAAACAATTTTTTTTAAATTAATCAATTGACCTATTTCATTTGCCCTTCTATGCTCAAATTAGCACACATTCAAAAGCATTTACTTCCATAACACTTCTGTTACAGCAACTATGAGCTTTGGATAGCTTTACTATCAAATTCTGTGGGAAAGAAGTCTTTTAGGGTGCTGTTTGGCACTCAGACACTGGCTTAAAAAAACTATTCACTATGCTGCTTTATGTCACCCAGGCCCAACCCTACAGTGCTCATTCCCTCGGTTATGCCAAAGTAACTGCTTTTAGGCCACACAGTAGGACAGATCAGAGAGGTGTGATCTAGGTAAAAGTAACTCTCATCTCCCCTCTGACACAAAAACAGAGCAAGGATTCTATCCAGACCAGTAGCCCAAATACCTCCAGTTACACTCGCACAGAAATCTGCACAAGCACAATTCTGAGGTGGTGTGGGGACAAAAAAATGTTTAAGCCAACCTCGTTTCCAAGAAAACACACTTAGCACAATCAGAATGTGCAATGTTCTCAGCTACATTACATCTGCTCTTGGGTCCCAGGCAGGAAAGATTGTTCTGCTGAGAAAGAATGCTAAAGTACCTCTCTACTACCAGCAAACACAAGAGGAAACAAAAACATTAACAGTAACAAAAAAGGAAACAGCAATTATTAAAAATTCTTTGAGCATCGATGGTTCTTCTTGAAAAGTTAAACTGCAAAATGTACACATCATATAATTTATTATTAGATATACTAAAGACGACTCCAGTTAATTACCATTAGCTGGTTACATTTCAGAATGCATCACCACACTGTGCCTCAGTTTTCCATTCTTTTCTTAAATGTGCTCAAGTCTTTTATTTGCAAGAATTTTTGCAGTTAATTTTACAGTAGGGTTAGTCTTAGACTAAAAAAAAATAGATTAACGGAATGCTGAATTTGACTTGACTGTAGAATGAGTCAAGGCTTGGCATCAGAAGAAAAATTATGGTACATGCAGACTTGATATGAGCAATTTCCTTCCCACTAAACAGTTTAAAAGTGTAAATAGTGCTAACCTGTCAGTCAGAACTAAATAAAGTCTTCATGTTAAAGCCTCTGACAATACTTATTCCTCTTTAAATATTTATCTTTCTGTTTGTTTTGAGGGTACATGTAGTTGCATACCTGCACATAATACTGACAAAGATTTTACAGAGGGAGTATGAGACCAATTCCTCTCAGCCTACACCCTTTGAGACTTTATAAAGCACTGCAAAAAGCTGAAACTCAGAACAATCCTTTAAAAAAAAAACACAACAAAACAAACAATCAAACAAACAACCAAAACAAACACAAAAACCAACCAACTGACCTACCAATCAACAAAACACCACTATTTCTACTGCAAGTCTTATCATGTTGTCTGCAGGTCACAAACAGTACAAATCTGCCGCTGTAGAACAGCAAATCCATTTAAAAAGCATTATGGGATCAATCTGTAAATGATACTTGGCTGACAACTAAGCTAGAAGAAAGAGATTGAGAAACTACATCAGGCTTGAAGGAATGTGAAGTAGCAAGAACATGCACTGACCTCCATTTAATAAAAAACATTTTAAAAGTTTTAAAGTAAGAGTTTGTCTTGCCTTTCAAGGAACCATAATCAAGAAGACATCTTGATTCATGCAAGAAGTTAGTTGTCCTGGCTTGTAGTCAGAAACAGAAAAACGAAGTTAAATTCCTGATAACAGGGGAGTGGGGGCTGAGGAGGAATGGAAACAGGACACAGACAAGAGAACAACTTGCAAGATCCTTTTACAAGGTGTCTGGAAAACAGTTATGCTACCAGCAATGTAGCAGCATGTGATGTGTAGTTTCTAGTTTACCAAACAAGCAAATACCTACATGGCAGTCCAAAGGGTGACCCTTTTATGAACTAACCAGTTAGATCCATGAACACAAGGGAGGAGGGATGGCAAATAAGTTTCTTTAAACAAAAAATTTATTTTATGTAGGAGCATACCTGACTTAAAGTGACTCCGGTGTTAATCCTGCTGCTTGTCTTCTCAAGGGAATCGGGATGGATTTGAGAGCACCTCTGCCCTTCTTTCTATTTTCTTTTTTTTCAGACTATCAGCTCTTATTAACCACACAGCAGTTGGGCTGAGCTAAGTCAAGGCATGCTACTAAAGCATCTGTTGATGGTCACCATTACCTAATTCTCTGACCTACAGACAATTCAGAAAAGTAACTCAGGATAAATGCATCTGACAGCCAGTTAGAATGGCCTCAGTCTTATTTCTGTTTTTCTCAGACATCTCATTTCTCCCTTCCACAAACTCTGTTGACTCCTCAAACATTCCCAAAAGAACTGACAAGGTCACTTTAACTAAAAGAGCTTCTCAGTTCAGACAACAAACCATGCATTTGAAATGGAAACTGCCTGTCATTTCATAACCATAACTAAACTGCGTTACAATGATTATTCGAACACAAAAGAATTGGGTCAGCTGACCACATCACTAAGAATCTAATTCTATTTAAAATAACATAGTTCAACACATATTCAATTTATTTATATGAATCTATAATAAGAAGGTATTTAACCTTTCATAAAAGCATGCAGATGAAGCTGTTCTGTATACCTTAACTTTTACAGTTCCAGAACTAAAAATGAAATGGCTTTGAAAAGCAAAAATATGTACAGGCAAAATGTGATGTTAGATCCTATTTCTCCCATTCCTTTTCTCCCACAGAGCAATTCTCTTATCAAGATAAAAATCTAAATTATGTTGAACATTAGGACAAGCATTCCCTGAACTTTAAGCTGCAGTGTTTCCTTCCCCTCATCCCTGACTTGATTTTCCAAAAAAATTTCAAATGGTTCAGCTTCCCAAGTACATAAATATAGTAACCTAGTTTCACAGCTGTCATTGGTCTAGCCTATTTGCAAGAGCCTTAAACCTTACAAAGTGCTTTCATTGAAAAGTCAAGTGCTTATGAAATCACTTCTTAAAGAAGAAAAAAAAACGTGCAGAACACCAGCAGCATTGTCCATGAACCAGATACCCCACCAAGAGCTCAAGAACAGAAACTTAACCTCCACATCCTTCCCAAGATGAAAGATCTGACTGCTTACCAGTAATGGTGCAGGCATCTCTGTACTCTCTGCAGTCTGGCACATCATCTTCCACCCCTTCACTTACATAGTGCTCTTCGTGGATGCCTGTGTCGCGGGCTAGGACTGCATGATTCGACGGCTCCGAAGGAGGCACAGTGCCGGCCAAAGTGCAGTCGTGCAAAGCTGTGGCGTCCAGCTTGGCAGGTTTCACAGGGTTGTACAACGTGCCATCAGGGGGACCAGCACTGGAGACTGGGTCTGGCTGGCACGGGCAGAGCTCTTTCTCTTTGCTAGAGTTGGCTTCAAGAAGTCTGCAAAACACAAAAGAAACAAATGTTCAGTTCAAGCCATTCCAAACAGCATAAATTAGAACAGATAATTTTCTTTTCCTTTAACCTTAGTTTAACCTAACAAGTGCAGCAAATACTAAACCCCCAACACTCTTCACAGAGCAGCTGCCTATCTCTGCACCTTGCACAGTCACGTAGAGAAGTGCTATTCCTTGCACCATATTATTTACCAATGGCTGACTAAATATCCATATTTTTGCCTATCCCAACTTGCAGTAAGCACAGTCCATTCACCTTGACTCATTCACCAACTTTCTCTTACATCAGGCAAGCAAAAACTCTATGTAACCCAGCATGCTGTACGAGCCAGGTCATGCAGACAGACTGCACATCACTGATTGATTTACTGGTACTTTATTAACATTATAATTTGAAATTGACTGATAGTAAAAAAATAAAAAAAATTATTAGAGGCTTATACTATAACCCTACTAGACCTTCCTCACCACTGTGCCACCCTGCACAGCCTGGTCCCTCACTGCCAGACTTGCAGCTGGCACCTTTGCTTACTTTACAGAATACACAGTAAACAGAACTCAACGTGCACTGGATTAAGACCACTCATTGCTGCTCCCCAGTGCTTCAGCCTCAAATAGGGAACAATGCCCCTCAAAGCTGGATACTGATGCTCCCAGCAAGGTTAAATTGGCCACAGAAGCAGTGAAGAAAAGCACATTTCCCCAAAAACTTCACCAAACCTTTTGTGTAAGGGACTAAAGGCACTGCAATAACTGGTGGTGTGGTACTGCTTTTGGTTATCAGCAGTGTAAGGAAAGATGCAAATGCTTATTTCTCCTAGCAAAGGAAAATGAAATCACGCGATTACAGAAAAACAGACCTGGGAAAAACAGACTTGAAAGACCTTATACACGTAGTAGCTACAAGGCATAAAGCAGCAGCAGAAGAACAGGCCACACAAGAACACCCAGACCACATGGGAAGAGCAGAAAGACAGTCAGTAAGAAGACACAATTGCACTTGTTTGCAAGGAGAAGGTGTATATGCAAGTGCAGCCACAGACCATGCTATGTTCAGTGCTTCATTGGGAACCAGATATACAACAGTTTTCTCAAGAATCCTATGAAAAAGGTTCTCCTTAATCTCTAGGAACATGATCAGATAACCTTTTTTTGCTGTTAAAGTTACACTCAGGATTTTGGCACCTTATTTTCTGGCATTTCTAGCCAATAACATTATTGCTTCACCAAAGCATGACGGTATTTCTAGAAACTAATTGCGAGACTCAAGTATTAGTCTCTAAACTGTCAAGACGCATATCAGGTGTTCCAGACCTTCTGGAAGTAAGCTTCAAAGAAATCTTGCAACAAAGTTGTAACACTGTACCAGCATCATCTATTCTCAAACTATTTTTCCCTTTCAGCACAGGCATAAGAACAAAAAGGCAAAATTCTTTCCCCCTTTCAGAAGACCTCAACTAGGATATGTTCACACCAAAATCAGAACACCGTAACTGGAAAACAGATGGGCAGTACTAACCTATGGAAAAAACACCCTCATACACAAAATGCCATTTCATTAAGTTTTCCTCAATGACAGACATTTGTGTTTCTGCATGGGTTCACTCAACCCGGAAACAGTTCTCACACTCAGAGACTCAAAAACTGTATTTTGTAATGATCATAATAGGAATATTATGATAGCTATAGGAACATACTAAAGCAAACGACAAATTTATGATACTATACCCTTGTACAAATGGTACTCTACTGTGGCAGCTGCAGGAAGAGAAAGTTTCACTTGAGTGCTTTAACAGAAAGTGTTGCAGTTCCCCTGCAGAGCATCCATTATTCCTGTGCTATCACAGTACATACTGAAAAGAACAATGAGGTTACTTGTACTGATTACTTTTAAAATGGTCCCCTTTCAAGTGGCTCCTTTGAAATAACAAGAGGGAGATTACTGATATTAGAAATTAGTTGCTCAAATGAAGTTGGAATCAAAATGAAAATCTTCATTTTTCTCTCCACAATGAAGATAGAAACAACTTAAGCTATAAACCAGAAAAAGTACTGGAAACGCACCTACTAACTGATTAGAAGGGCTCTATTTTGTCCTAGCTGCTACCACACATCTTACATTTGTTTTGGGAAACTATTAGATAAGTCTGTTGTTATGAACAAGGGCATGTCTGGGATTAAGTAACTGAAAGCACTAACAGCACTTCTCAGCTTTTCTTGTCCTCCTCTACCCTCCTCTCCACACCCTACTTCAGCAACCTCAGGAAAGCAGCAATATAACAGCACTACCGAATGAAATAACACTGATAATCAAAGTGTGATTCCTGTGTAAAGTCTTCAAGTGAGTTTTGGGAATCTAAGATCTTGTAACTTTTCTGAACAAATGACATTCAACATCTGACATACCTGATCATCTTTACTCATTCATGACTTTTATCTCCCACACAGTCCTCACCAAAAACACTTTTGGCCAGAACATAACATCCCACTTTGTGTTAGAAGTTGCGTTGAATGAGTTTCACCTCTGCCTTCACCCATTTTAACATTCACTCCACTGAGGTACTATGGAACCAGTTCTCCCCCTACCATAAGCTGCACTCCAACAGCTTCTGTCTTGTCACTGTTAAGAAAGAACAAATGGAGATACACATTCAGAAACAAAAGTCATCAGTGGTCTTCCTTCACACAACTTGTTTCACTGTTGGTAATTTACAGAAACTATAAGCAAATAGAGCTTGAAAACACAAAGAAGCAACAAAACCCAACCCCCCAAACAATTCCCACAAGTCAGTCTGCCTGGTCCTCTACAAAAACACGTGGAATGTCTATATAAGAAAGTCAAATTCTAGATTAAGGAAGAGAATTTGCCTTGATCTTAAAATCCCGTATCACGCAGGGAGAAAAGCCAGCACAAATGCATATGTCTGCTTCCTTATTATTTAATATCCTTGATTTCCATACACACAGTGGAGAAATGTTGCTCAGACTCTTACCAAATCCACAGAGGCACTGTTTGCATGGCCTCTCTTGCAAGGCAAATATTACCAACTAATCCAGTGGCGCACACTTTTCCTTTAAAGTTCCATTTAAGTCTTCCTATTGCAAAAAATAAAAAGAAACTGCAGGTGAGCAGCATTTACCAGATTGCCAAAACAGCCATTGTAGAAACTGCACCCATGAAATACACAACATTATTATTCTTTAGTCAGTCTCACCTGGATATACAATATTCTTACACAAGATGGTACAAATTGTTATTGCACTATTTCGTATTTACTCCTTCTGATATCTAAATGAGGATGTTAATTGTTATTGCAGTTTTGTATTTACTCTGACATTCAAACAAATGTACAGTTTGCAAGTCAGATTATAACTTTTCCTGATGAAAATTCAATGCATTTCATTCCTTCTACTGCATATGCCAAGAGCAGCCTGCATACAGGATTTAAATAACTCCTCTCTCCCACCTAATATGACATAATTCAGCTTTCGCCTCAGTGGTTGTATTGCACTATTTCTACCAGTCTAAATACAATGACAGTTTGGGGCTAATAAGCAGAACTGGGACTAAAGAAATACTTAATTAGGAATGTTTGAACTTAATCCTTCAGCGTAAAACTGTTTGCTGAAAAAGCACAATTCCCTTAAGTTTATCATCTAAACCTTTTTAGCACAGGTCATTTTACTCTGAAAAAACCCTTATTTGTCAGTCATTTGTTAAAGGCACTCATTTCAACCCCGCACTTCGTAAGAGCAATCACATAAACACAAAAACTTGCTCCTGCACACCTCTTCTGAAGAATGCTCACATTTTTTGGTCTAACCCAATAAATGCTTAAAACAGAGCATTTGCCTGATTCCTGTATGAAGACCATAAACGGCCAACAGCATTATAATCTATTAGTACATCTACACAATAGATTGGACTATGACTGCAGTGTAACTAAGACTTGATCAAGAAGTACATTGGGTACTTCTTGTATATACTTACAGGTATACTGTAAGTGTACCTGTGGCAGCCCAGATTACAAAAGGCAAAAGTTCAAAGCTAACGGACGCATTTACATCCGCCAAGACATGAGGGTTTTGAGGTAAAAAAAAAATAAAAAAAATCTCCACATCAGTCAGCCATTTCTGGATTCTGGACATGAAAAAAGGTTAGTTAATTTTTTAATTTGCAGTGTGTTTTGTGGGGAGAGGGTTGAGTTTCATGCACCACAAATTTCATATACAAGCAAATAAAATAAACCATTCGCTTTTTCATAGCTATTTGAGATAAACTTTTTCTGCATTTAGCATTAAACACATTAAACACTCTAAAGCTAAATATATAAATGACTTAAAGTAATCCTTCTTCCTTCACCAAAAGCAGAAGATATAGAGTTATTCAGCCATGTGCCTACCCACAGCCCAGCAGTGCCAACAAATACATTATCTGTAACCTTGCAACATTATTCTTATCGCCATCTTGGATTGCAACAGGAGCCATTTACTGCAGTCACAAAACAGCTGAAACTCCTACAACTAATGTGCTATCCAAGGGCCACGAGCTGCACCCTACAGTGATCATTAAGCTTTGAACTATTTTTAGTTAACAGCTCAGATTTTGTGACCCAAATAATACTGTTATTTAGTAGTCTAAAATGGCAACTTGGACACTGCAAACATCTGCCAATTTAAAGAAAGACTTCCTTAATGGAGGGGAAAAATGTCTTTCCAGGACTTCTGGTTATAATCTTCCAGGTCATCCTTTTGCTATGCATACTCTCATACAGAATTTAACTATGCTGTTTGGTTTAGAGCAAAAGCAAAACCATTTACTGTGACCCAGCTGGTTTTCCAGAACAACTGTGGTGCACATGAATCAATTGCCTTTTGAGTAAGAGAATCTGAAAAGTCTGCTCCAAGACGGACTTCAAATGCTACCTGCTGTCTAACAGGGACATGAAACTTCAAGCAATCCCATGGCTACATCACTGCAAG